GAGGTGTCTTGGCATTGTCTGATTGTTAGAGGAGTACCGAGAACTTACATAGCGCTAATCAGGCCTTTTGCAATCTCCCTTACGTGTGGCACCGACTGACGAGATATCCGACTTTATATCGAAAGAAGAGTGAACTGTGCGACAGTCTGCTCTGTCCTACTATGAGACGTGACAGTTAAAAGCAGAAAACATGAAGCAGTTGCAGGTGTTTCGTTATGAGTGTCTTGGTGGCAGTGCTTTCGTTTGATAGAGTCATCATCTGAGGAATGTTGAGTTCATGTGATGGGTACTAGACAAGACCAACAATTCGATTGATGATGTTGTAAACCCAAATGTGCTGAAATAGCTTTGATGTGTACTGTTCATGCCATGCTGAGGGAAGTTGAATTAGGTTAGAAGATGGTTCAGAGTGGGCAAACCAGGACCTGACACTAGTTGGTGAAGTTTCTTACTATTGTTCTGAGTCATATGTGACTATGTAGATTGCCTGGTTATGGACCTTGAGACTATAGGAATCAGTGGTTGTGGACTCTGGGCAACATGTTTGAAAATCGGTCATAATGGTTGAGATATAATAACTCCTTAACATCTTATGAAGTTTGAATATTGACACTAAACATTATCTTCAGATTGTTTATTTTCTCTCTCAACTTTGTCTACTTTGATATCAGTCTTTATATATTACTGTGAAGTGTAGCAGCTTCAGTCAATGCACCTGTCTGCGAGGTCCCACGTTGATTTTGTCAGTCTTATGCTTTTGATATGCGATTTTATATGGTTACCTCAAAGTTGTAGTGTACAGAGCCAGGTAATCCCATATTACTTTTCTTAGATGATTGATGCAGAACAACAAACATTGCAGAATGTATCGAATTAATTTCGTGTGCTCAAAATCTTCCAGATATGCACTAAATTTAAAATTGTGTGGAGTAAGCTGTCTCCCTCCAGTATAAGTTATCTGATGCGTTTCAATAGTAAAATCGACAAGTGCATCTTTCACATCTAGACATAAATATATATGGGAACAGTGCTACTTATCAAGAGATGCTTTGATCACAATTTATTACCTACGACCACACCAAGGTAATCACACAACGTTTGATGCCTGGATTTTATAGTGGTAAATGACAACTGTAAAGATCAGGTGTTGGAAGTTTTGCGGTTACTTTGACATGATTATAAGTGTTGTAGTGTGTGATAAAATTCCCCAGATCTTCATAAAAACCCTGAATCCCTGAAACCTGTTGCAACTAATCGTGTTCCTTTGAAGTTTCGAGAAAAAGCACCTGAACCTACTTGTTTACATTAGATTAGTTAATGAGGCGAAATCAATAGCATATGCCTTTCTAAAAAGGCCTAGAAACAGTTAAGGCCATTGTGAATATATATATATATATATATATATATATATATATATATATATATATATATATATATATATATATATATATATATATATAAACCGTTTTATTTTCTACATATTTTGATGTTGCAATGCTGCTTCTGTTATCTTACCACCTTTTTTATTTTCAAAAGAACTGAGCGACCATCAAATGGGGGAATCTTACGGTTATTGTTCAATTTTCTTTTCACTCTCAGAAATATATAACCAGGATGTGTCAGTAATTGGTAAATTTTGCTTGAAACGTCATCCAGTGCATAATACTGTTTCACTGTGTGCTGAATCAAACTAACTAATTCGATATGAAATTACATTCTGCTACACTGACCAACCTGTACGCTCTAAAAAATGAACTAGTTCATAGCAAAAAGCCAATTTCAGTTATCCGTAAAATTTTAATTTAGTCTACAGAAAAGTGTTGTAGTAATCGCAGATCTAAACTGCAAAAAACGACTTATTACTTGCAAATACCGTTTTAGTCGAACACACCACAACATTTTTATCTCAACCAAATACTTAGAACGCAACACCTATTCGTACAACAGTTCTTTATGCGATAAGTGAGTTTAATATTGTAAGTTTATGTAAGTTGTCAAAACAATTGATTAGTACTTGTCTTCGACAGAAGCACCAGATTGCAGAACATGAGTCGGAAAAAAAACACTATATTTTCACGTTGAGTTACAGTATTTATCTTGGTGAGAAAACTCATTAGTGCATATATGCAAAATAAGTTCTGATAGATTTAGAGGACTATGTAGATAGAGATGAAATTATCAACAAAGATACTTTTTAAATTCAAAGAAAAATAAGACATTTTGCATCTGCACAAGCGTTTTATAACTGTATGCAAACACTTCTACTATACAAATAATTTTTGTTCTTTAGTTGAAGTAAATTCTTTCATTATCTGGTTCTTGGTGCTATCCGTGTAACGTTAAGAAGGCAGTCACCTATTCATTCCTGCAGACAAAAACCGTATCAACAGTTATAGGATATAACATTCAACATTTTATTTTTAGCAGAATAGGGTGCAGCATAGATTTAGTAGGAGTAAAGTGACAGTTCTTTAAGAAACATCAACGTTTGTAGTTAGTGTAATAGAAAGCTTATGTTTATTTAGATTACGATACTTACTTTCAAAAACATCCACTTGTTTACTAGGTATCTAAATATATAACTGAATTACAGTCCTTTTTTTCTTCTGTTCCACTTAACAGATCTGGAAATCTTCATATTTCGTAGAACTCTGTATATTTTGGATTGTATACTCTCATTTTGTTAGTTGTTTGTTATGGAATTTTAGTACAATTTCAGTATTGAAGGAGAATGCGAATAGCATAATCGTACAGTTACTGACTGTGTCTGACTTTCATTGATAAGTAAAGACTGGCAAAATGGACTATTTAAAATCATGGAAGCTGTTGATCACAATGTACTAATGGTTTCTTAAATAAGTTTTATTGCTGATATCCTTGAAAGGTCTACTATTACCAACAGTCTCTTCTTTAACTTTCAGCTTAGTAATTTGTTTCTGTAACATAATTCATTCAGAAACTTCAACTACATATACACCATTCTGTTGACAAAGATGTATCGAATATGCAACATAGTACCATGCCCTGTTTTATGATCCAGCTTTAACAAAGGTAGTTGAGGTTTTGACCATCGATGCTTTCAATGTACTGTACACATATGGTTGCCGTGACTATATTAATGTTTGAGTAACTAAAATAAGCAAATTATGAAAGTCCATAAACTAAGATGGTTGGTTTGCGTACTTCGCATGTATAAGTGCTCAACAAGTCAACAACGCGAAATTTCGCATACTTGTGTCATTATGAGTTGTCACATTTTACACCAATAAGAAAAGGAGAAACCAAAAAAGCGAAAGAAATTGGGAGAATGGTACTAACGGATTTGAGAAAAACTAATAGCAGGCTGAGAAAACAGTAAGAAAAGTTGGTGAGAATATGCAGCATTGATATTGTGTCAAAATTTAGATAAATATCAAGATGAGATATATTACTCTAAGGTAATATATTTTTAGATAGTGTAATTACAACATAAAGTTTATCTGAGCAATGTGATGTATTTGGACATAACATTTCGAACAGTCTGATAATACACTTACTTGTGAAGTCAGTTTGTATAAAACTGAAGGATGTGAGGACAAAAAAGAAGAAGAATATTGTTAATACTAATCATAGTAATAAAACAAAGTTTATCAGTGTAGGTGTAGTGTGAGAACGAATTGTTTTTGTACACATATAGGCGGTTTCAATTTGCGTGGGGCTATTGCTTTTGAAAATCTCAGTATGCATCCCTGACTCTTTCTATGTAAAACTATAATAGCTGTTTGAACGTTAATTTTTTGACCCGTTCCTATAGTTTATTTAGCTGTAGATGAAGAGGATTGTCTCCAACCTGCACTTATCAAAGTTTCACACTCCGTTTGTTTTTGAAGCCATTTAGGTACATGTTCTCCTACCCTCAACTGCATGGCTCAATTACTCCTCCTTATATATGCATGACCATACGCATACGTAAACTGGTAAGCATAATGGGATGGAAAGTGATCACTTATGCTGCGTTTAGGTTTTTAGTGAAGCATACGTTTCGTTTTTTCCACGGTAATAAGCTTGGCTGCTATATAGGTTTTCCTAATGATTGATGTTAACCTACGTCTCAAAATCATACTTTTCAGCTCCCGTCTGTTTGGTGTGGTGATGTGAACACTTTTCTTAGGAACCATGTATGGAGTTGACTTTGGTGCTACCCGACTTCTACGCCAATGATAAACTGCAACACATATCCGTTTTACATGATTGTTTCTATCCCTTCTATCTGTATATTCCGACCATGAGACTTCATCGTCTCATCAACCTACGTCTATTATCTATTAATGCACCAATTTCCAGGTTTATAAATCCCCCACTTTTGATGTTCGTGTTTCACAAACACATGCGATAGTGAATAATACTCTTATGGAGTCTAAAGTGATGAAAAATACTTCTTTATGAATTCAGTGCTGAAAATGTCACCAAGCCTGGTGATGAAACGTTCACAACAATATATCAGCGCTCAGAGAACATCAAATCACCATCATGTACGGAGTTTACTGTACCGTGACTTTACATTTGATTATTTCGCCTACGACCAAATAAGTGTTAATGGAGAAAAATAAACTAAATATTGCCTATCAGCGTTGAGATTTTGTCAGCTGCTAACCCTCAAGGGTTAATGTTAATCTTCACAGCAGATAATCCATTTTCTTAGCTACTTCACTCTATTTTTCAAATTAGGCGTAGATACTGACTTATCATGACGCAATATTATGTATAAAAGGTGCAAAATATACGGTAGACTTTCTTGCTCTTTCACTTAATGTGTAAAAAAGGTCGTGTTTTTCAACGTCCTTTAAATTAACTCTGTTTAGAAAGGGCTTTTTTTCCCACTCAGTAGTGATTCGGTAGATTTTTAGCTTTGTATTATTGTGTTTTTTATTTGATTATAAATACCGCTCAGAAATTTATTTTCTCCAAACCCACTGATATTTTGGTCACAGTTTCAAATTTTATTTCTTAAATTTTTTCAGCGTCCTGCGACAGTTGCAGCCCCACCAAGTCAACTCCCCATATAAAGCCAGCCAAATCAATAAGGACGGAGAAAAGTAAAAAGAGGCTAAAGCCCATTTTCCTTGTGTATAATTTTTATTATCAGTTTGTGACTGAAATTCGAAAACGTTATCGGACTAATTATCACGTATTCTACTGAAAAAACTACAGATAAATGCGAGAATTTCGAACTTCATGTCTGAAAGCAAACCAGGTCTGGTTATTGCACTCTGAACAAAAGTATAGAATGAGTATTTCAATCGCAACCGAAGCATTTTGCACAAAGTACAAGGGTGGACATAAATCTAGAAAAAGTGGGGAAACAATTAGAAAGAAGTAAGATGTTTAGGATTTAAAAATAGATGAGGTGTTTGCACTTCTCTGGGATTAGTGATCAGTGTTTAACTTCGCCGTTTAATTTTTCCACCCAGAAGACGCTAGATGGCATAGCTAAGAATCTATCACAATGGTGCAGATGTGTCCACGCTTTATCTTCGGGCCAATGATTAATAAGTTGAAAGCTTCACCTCCTCATAAACTAACTTCCCAGGACTCATAAGGACCATTAGTTCCCTCGAGGTTTCAAATGCACTTTTCTGACGAGTGCGACAAGCGGGGAACCTTGGCCGTCCCGGTAAACTCCAACCATCTAACGTCAATCAAATTGTGCTGTGATGCTAAATCTTCCAACTTGGTAACCGCAGTGCAAAAATGATCCACAGAATTCGGTCAACACTTAGAACTTGACAGCATGAAATTGGTTACTGTCCCATGACAGACAGATAACATTAATGTAGTATCTCACACACACCTGATTCGGTTCAAGTTGCTACCCTTCGCAATATCATGCAAAGAACAAGTGGACAGAAGAAAAATGATATCAAATGAGATAAAGGTGTGTTGAAGAAGAAATTTAAAAGTTAAAGTAAGTTAAAACCTTCAAGCTTTAAAAGATTTGGAACAGTGAATACATCCATACCATCCTGACAGATTTTCAGACATGTCACCGAGTTTCTCCAACAATTAATTCCTGTCATATCAAGGACCCCAACAATATAATCTACACTACACCATACGGTTACAACCACACGTCGTCGGCTGCTGCAGCACATAATCAAGGCACTTCAGTCGGCGGAGGTTCACAACCTACATAAGGCTATCTGTGAACAATGCTACAAAGACACTTCTGATCAGAAACCCTGTAACCGCTTCATGCCTTCTGTTTTTCACGGCCATGTCTCATAGTCATGTATCAAGACAAGCCTGACCGCAGCACAGTTTCCTCGTCCTTTAATGAATAGTCGGATATTTCACCAGTGGGCTCCAGAAACGATGCAAGCTGGCAAATATCAAATGAGCCTTCTCAATCTAGAGTGAGATTTCATCAACAACCAGCCCATTCAGACTGATGCAACTCCCAAGAAATTGAAGTGATTGGTGCATTCAACCACTTAACCGCATATCAATAAACTGGGATTACTTGCAGCAGACCAGTCCTGGAGCATCATCTTACTTTGGGCTGGCGCGAAACACATACCAAAAATACTCAACATTTCGCTCCACACACTCAGAAGACCCTTAATTTTGTCGACGTCTTCCCCTAGCAGGATCATAGCGTATACATACTCCAAGCTAACCAGATGCACTCCATTGAGTAAGTCAATCCGTGTTAGACCGAAGGTACCTAAGATGATATCCATTAGTACATCCATTACAGAACTAAACAAGAACAGTGACAGTGAGCATCCCTGGCTGATACTACTAGTTGTCATCAACTCAGAAGACAACGTTTCGGACATAGTTTATTGTCCATAGACAATAAATTATATCCGAAACATAATCCAGTTAACAATACTGCTACTCGTTGTGATAAGTCTTATAAACCAATATAAATGGAATTAAATTCTACCACAGTGAAAAGTTTTACTCTTATATTTCTGACTGTGTAAGTTAGTTGATTGCGGTTCTCTCTGAAGTGTGAAACATAATGGTGTTGCTAGTTTGACAGTAATCAGTAAATGATCTCAACTTGCATGATAACTATGATATCCTGGTCACTGCTTTTCAGTGACGATAGATTGTCATTAAATGTCAGCTGATTTTGAACCTAGGTTGATATTAGTATTTTGTTCTTTCCTCAGAAACGAGATAATGTGTTGCTTGTTTTATTCACTCCGATAAGTAGTGTTAGTTGAAGCAGATATAAGCTTGAAAAAGTTAAAGGTGGCCAGAAAACTCAAATCTGTTCATGAGGCCTCTGACTGTTCGCATTAACCACTTAGTTTGATGATGAAGATCCACATAACACCTAAATTCTGCAATTAGAGACTGTTTAATATTGTATTGGGTGGTAAATATAAGAATCCACATAAGTAGTATATGTTGAACGGTCAGCAGAATTCAGGCAATTACGAGCGACGGGTAAATATTCTACACAGAGGAACGCGAAGGATAACGTGCGTGTATCCGGAGCGAAACGGGATAGAAGAAGAAGAGGAAATGAAACACATTGTGCAAATGAATAGTTCAATGAAAATGTTACAATATTTCATCATAAATATACAAAGTGTCAAAATAAACATTCTTCTGCGTCTCATTCTTTGCCGTTTTCTTACAACGTGACCTACATCATCTTCATCCCAATCATTATATCACATTTCATTACTATTTTGACTCCTCTTTTTATGACTTTCTACGAGTTTTGATCAATTTCTCTATCTATCATCTTTTAGGCTTCTATCTTGGTATGACGAGTGGTGTGACAACTTGGACTGTTGTGTAGTAATGTTCAGGCTTTATATTGATGTTGATTAGCCGTATGCTTTAAGTGTGTAGTAAGTAAAACAGTTTCTAGTGTTTAACTTTCTTATTTTTTCCTTAACATACCTACAGAAAACGAGATGTTTGCATTATCAGGATTGAAAGCACTGACGCACAATACAAACCGAATATACTACCCTGTCGTACAAATAACCAAATCCCCAAAAGCAGGAAGCAACAAATCCAGAATGAGAATAAGCCTTGCACAGAAAACAACTTGAGAATCGGAAAGAGTACTGTTATTCAGGGCAACTGCCGATACAATGAATGTAAGAACAACAGCAAAGCATACTCCCAAGTATCCGGTGCATTTACACAATCCAACGTCATCGATTCGCAGTTCAGACTGGAGAAAAGAACAAAACCAGCTTCCACTCATTCAGAAGCTTTAGGAAACTATCGGGCCAGTCAGATCACTTGTCAGACTCTCCGGTATCCCAAGCCCGAACATTATCGTTAAGAGCAGTTTCCGTCACCTGTGCCAGTAAAATGTCAGGTTCCTATAAACCGGCGAACATAGGAATAAATGCTTCATCACTAGTGAGAGGCGGTCTCAAACAAGGAATCAACAAACATTCCAGTAAAAAGACTCCTGAATACGAGCTCAAGCCGCGAATTGATAACTCACCAACCCTAGTAGAAATGAACCATCTGACAAGAATTCACAATCGAATATGTTCACTTCTGAGCGGGAAACGAACTTGAAAGAAAGTAAAAATGTTGCGAGTACGAATGAATAATGCCATATTTTTCTGTTTATTTCTTTGGTATACTGAAAGTTAGGCCATCTGTGTAACAGCTTACGATGTTTCTAAGCAAGGCATATGAGTGAACTCTGTACTAGATATTTTGTAAGCAAATTGTTTTGGCGTCATGTACGCTTCCTTTCAATTCCTGGTATTTTTCATACCTATCAGCCATTCACTCATAATTCTGAACCCTGTCCTATCCGCCGCTGCTTGAGCAGCTGGTCGTTGTCCCTAGCCTTCATAAAATAAGTGCATCTCTAATATATTCTTGTGGGATATATATAGCCTCTTGAACAACAAACTTAAGCTTCACCATTGAAGGTCTCTCGAAAACAGAAGGAAGCGGAGAAACCGATGAAAGGTTTATTGTCAAGTTGAACCTGTAGAAAAAATTATTGGTGTATATTTTCGGTGGCTTTAGTATGCTCTACACTTTTCTAGATAGTCCGTTAGCCAATCTGAGACACACGTATGGTCACGTGGTTTTCGCGAATATTCTACATGCCATGATTGGTTATGAAGGCTTTTCAGAGAATTCCAGTCTTCTTTGATGAATGTAAAAGATATTGTTGCACTTCATACGTTCTCATAGGTCAGTACACAAACTTTCACGCCACTCGAACTGGATTGTACTTCAGATCATGTAGCGTAGTCTACACGTAGGTCTCAAGACAGTGTTCAGTTCAAACAACATCATCCCGGTAAACATAGAGACCCCTTATGATTTGTTTCATTTGAAATAAAAACTGAGGTGCAAAGGAAGTTTCTGAAGCTTCAAGCCTTCGCTCTGACCATTTACGAAAAATTGGGCGAGGTGTGTAGAATGTTTCACTGTGTAAGTCCTGTGATCACCTGAGTCTTGAGTGGTGCTCGCTTTTACCGTACGCACATAGTGAGAAATGTTGAAGAAACTGGAGAATGAAGAAAAGGCTATGTATGTACTGATTACGTTCTTACTTTCGTAAAAATGCTTGGTGTTAGGCGTGAAGTAGGTTTTGACATTAAAGCAACCTTCAATATACTAAGGCCCGACCGATAGCTGCTACCTTGACGTGGTGGTCGGGCTTGCATATCACAATGACCCAACGAGCTATGCTGGTGGAACGCTTGTTCCCTCGAGGTCCTACCATACCAGAAAGGTCTGTTGGGTAGTGGTTAGACGAAAAGCAGTTACCGTTATAGTGTAAATTGCTACACTATGATGGGGGTCTGAGGGCGAAGTCGTACTGCTGCTAGCTGGATGGGGTGTGACAGCAGTAAGGTGTTTCCCTTGGATGACCAGCAGTGCCATGCTGATGCTGCCTTCTCAGTGGAAGGGGGGCTTAGAAAAGGTCGGCCCCAAAAATAACACACTCCACCACGCCCCACGGTCTGCCGGGCCGGCGGTGTTGGTTCACTTGTCGTTTCCTTTCGACCATCCGGCCCCAAAAATACAAAAGTTCAAAATAATCATACTCAAAAGGCTGGGTGTGACAGGCCTCAAGCAGATGTCCGATGGGCTCTGCGGTCACACAAATCTCTTTCAGGTACCTTAAGAAGAAATAGCCTTCCACGGTGTGGGCAGCCGGGAAGTGTCAACCGCCCTCACAACTCTGTCAGCACCCAAGTTTCTTCTGACTGCTATCCTCCTCCTCCATCATTACCTTCTAATCTTCCTTCACGTCTCTTAATTAATGATGCTGCATCATCTTCAATTTCTCCTACCTCTGCAGCCTTCGACAACGATCTGAGTCCACAGAACAGCATCCCTGGTCTCCTTAAACCACGCTCCAAATTACATATTGGAGCCTTCAATGTCCGCACCCTCCGTCAAATTGGCCAACAGGCTTCGTTGGCAAAGACTCTAGCAACTCGGGCATGGATGTGTGCTGTGTTTGTGAGACACGCATACAGGACCCAAGTGTGGTTATTCACCTGACCTCTCCTGACCAATCTGGTGAATCTGCAAAATTCACCCTTCGAGTTTCTGGAGATTCGATAGCTAGCTCTCGTGGTCTTGCAGGTGTAGGTATAGCATTAAGCACCAGGGCAGAAAACTCACTACTAGACTGGATCCCAGTTGATAGTCGCCTCTGCGCTATGAGGCTGAACGGCACAGTGAGAACTAAAAGGAATAGTGAGACTCGCCGTTGTCTCTTTGTAATCTCTGCTTACGCACCCACTGACTGTAGTTCGGATGAAGTGAAGGACGAGTTCTACCATAAACTGTCTAACCTCCTCTCGAAAGCCAAACGTTCGGACGTAGTGGTTGTTGCAGGTGACCTCAACGCACAGGTGGGTAGACTGAGTGAGGCAGAAAGGCACTTAGGTGGCACTTTCGGAATCCCAGCTGAACGTACAGATAACGGTGATCGCCTATTACAACTATGCTCAGATAACCGCCTATTTTTAGCCAGCACAAATTTCAGACATAAAGAAAGGCACTGTCTGACCTGGCGTCCACCGAGCTCGACTCAGCGATGGACACAGATAGACCACATTGCTATTAGTCATCGCTGGAGAGGATCGGTGGAAGACTGCCGCTCCTTCTGGAGTACGTGTTTGGACAGCGATCATGCGTTGGTCCGAGCACGTATATGCCTGCGTCTCAATGGACGTAGAAAAAATTTGGCAACAAAACCACTACGAGTTCTGCTGGACAACGAAAACACCAAAGCCGTGTTCAGTGAGAAGTTGGCTAGGCAGTTATCGGAACAAAAGACTGTCACTCATCCAGAAGAAGCTTGGTGCCATCTTCAGTCTACTGTAAAAGCAGCACTGGAGACTGTAGCCGACTCCAAGATAATGGCTAAAAAGAGCCAGTGGATATCAGCAGCTTCTTCCAAACTAATGGATGCACGTGAATGCATCCCTGCAGGCTCTGAGTACAATGAAGAGCGAGCGCAACTTAAAAATAAACTGACGAAAAGTCTGCGCAACGATCGTGAACAGTGGTGGGCAGCAAAGGCTAAAGAGATGGAAAAGGCAGCGGCGATCGGTAACAGTAGACAGTTATTTAGACTTATTAAGGAGACTGGGGGGAAATGGTCAACAACAGTTAGTGAGGTTATAGCGGAGAAGGACGGATCTGCGATTCACTCGCAGGGAAGGCGACTGGGACGATGGGCAGAACACTTTGAGGAACAGTTTAACTGGCCTCCAGCCACCATTGCGCTGCCCGCTATCCAGTCGGACCCTGAATGGGACATAGAGACAGGTCCCCCAACACTAGAAGAAGTTGAGAAAGCGGTAGGTAGCCTGAAACGGGGAAGGGCAGCAGGACCAGACGGACTACCTGCTGAGGTATACAAGAATGGTGGTAGAGTTCTCTTAGTCAGGCTAACGGAAGTGTTAGCCAGTATATGGGAATCAAATACGATCCCCTCCGACTGGTCTAAGTCACTCATCATCCCAGTCTTCAAGAAAGGCGAGAAGTCCTCTTGTGATAACCACAGAGGAATCAGCCTGACAAACATAGTGTCTAAGATCCTAAGTTCTATAATTCTCCGACGCCTGAGTGGAGCTCGGGAACAGCAAGCCCGAGAAAACCAGGCAGGCTTTAGACCTGGCCGTGGATGTATCGACCAAATATTCACACTGCGCCAGGTCCTGGAACATAGGCATGCTTACAGACGCCCGACAATAGCTGTATTTCTCGACCTGAAGGCGGCATTTGACTCCGTTGATCGAGAAGTCTTATGGCAGTGTCTGTCACTGAAAGGCGTGCCTAGTAAGTACATCACCTTATTGAAAGCTCTCTACTCGAACACTTGTGGGCATGTTAGAGCCTATGGTGAGTTGTCCAGGGAGCTATACTCATCAAGTGGTGTCCGTCAAGGATGCCCACTATCCCCATTCTTATTTAATTTTATCATAGATATTCTTATGGAGGTTTCCCTCTCGTCACCTAATTACAAAGACGTTGACCGGATCACAGGTGAATTTTCCTTAGATCTAGAATATGCAGATGACATAGTCCTGTTAGGTGAAGACGCTGACAAGATGCAGAGTCTTCTGAACACTTTGAGTGGGAATTTGAGAATGTTTGGGATGCGATTTTCACCACCCAAATGCAAATTTTTGCTCCAGGACTGGTCTTCAGCGGTACCGCGGTTAACAATAGAGAGTGAAGTGGTTGAGTGTGTTGACCACTTCACTTACCTGGGAAGTAGGATCAACCCGGTGGGTTAGTTGCCGATGAGATTTCTGCACGGATACAAAAGGCTCGATTGGCTTTTGCCAATTTGCGCCACCTATGGCGCCGCCGTGATATTCGTTTGTCTATTAAGGGTCGCGTGTACTGCACAGCAGTCCGCTCTGTTCTACTGTATGGCTGTGAAACATGGCCATTGAAAGTGGAAGACATGAGAAGGTTTCAGGTGTTTGACCACCGTTGCCTTCGTAGTATAGGACGTATTCCGTGGTGTCACCATGTGAGTAATGCAGAAGTTAGGTGTAGAGTTTTAGGGAGAAGAGGTAAGTCAGTCGACGAGGTTGTGAACCTTCATCGACTGAGATGGTTGGGACACGTACTACGTATGCCTAGTCACCGATTGCCTCGTCACACAATGTTGGCTGAGGTGGGTTCAGGCTGGAAAAAGGCCCGAGGTGGCCAGACTAAAACATGGCACCAATGTATGAAGTCTCTGACTGTTGGTTTAAGCCATGTAGGACGATGCAGACTAGGTGGTTGGGGTCCACGGGACAAGAGGAACCAGTGGTTGGAGACCCTAGGTGATATGGCTCAGAACCGAAGTCAGTGGCGCAGATGTATACACACATTATCCTCATCTTAACAACGCTATACCGAATCTCACTATTTTGTCACTCCTCTTTCCTTTCTTCTCGTACTTTATATTTCTTTTGACTGCATTCACTTATCTTCATCCTTCACCTCACTACCTTTTTACTTGATGTGCTGATATGAGGTGTGGCAACTCGGACCGTTACGCAGTAATGCCTGGTCCTATGTTGATAATGATGATGATGATACTAAGGAGAGAGTAGTGATCTGAAGTTGCTTGTTAAACACGAGTGTTTTCTGGAAAGCTAGTATCAACATAATTAGCCACAGTACTGTACTACTAACCGTCCAGGTTGCCACACATGACATTAACAAGATGAAAGCGAGAAATGATAAAACATATTTTCAAAAGTCGTAGAGAGTTATGACGAAAGAGGGAAACATTAGAAAAAATATCGATTGTAATAAAGAAAATACATGCACCTAGGGAACTTCGAGAAAGGAAGAATATAATGTAAGAATTTGGACCGATTGTTTCTTTTTCATGACTTCTATAGAATTGTAAAATATTTCATGTGCATCTGGTGTCGCTCAAAGCCTGGAAACTTCAGGCTGATTTCGTTCAATGATGCTGTTGTCCACTAATATCATCTCCATATTTTTGGCAATATCATTGAAATAGTACTAAGGCTTGGTAATGTATGTTTAGGAATGGATTGTTGTTCTATAATATTATAGTATCAGCTTCAGTGGTTTGAACATGTTTTAAATTTACGACTTAATCGACTTCTAAAGTAAATATTGAATAATATTATTGGGACTGATTGGAAGGAGTAAACAAACACCTGAATTACGGAACTGCGTAAGCATCTATTTGTTGCATCACAGCTTCCTGTGTAATCGTAAAAACCACATGACTCATGGGATTAAAACTTTCATCAGATTCGAATGAGAATCATAGCCATTATTGACCGTTCAGTAGATTTCTTTCCTATTCCTTATAAAAAGAATTACAAGCAATTGGCGTTTGAGAATGCATCTTATGCAACTGTACCTCCGTTTTTGACATCTACAATTCGTTTCTACTTATCCCTATACTATAGTGGTGCAGCCCTTTTACAGCACACCGTATTCAGCGTTTGCGTTTCTAACAAAATCAATAATAGACGATTGCTAGGCTCTACTACCACAATGCTATTTTCGTTTTAATCCCCTTTTCTTGGGCGAATTTAAATCTATCCACTGAGGAGCGATTATTAATAGGTTGATTACTAATTGATTAACTGCGGGTTTTTTATTGGTTTTCAGCGTCACAAATCAATGACTTCAATACTTTTTCCAGCAGTGGGACCAGCAACTCTAACAACTTCAACAATTACCTTGAAACGTCCGGGAAAGAAAAACTGTCAATCTCATTCAAACAACAGGCTAATGGTCCAACCTGTTCTACTTTATCACAATGTAATGCATTCAGTAAGAAAAAAGCTTTACAGAGTCCATTGACTGATAATGATTCGCCTAAAAAGTATACTATCCTGTTAAACGCCGTATTATATCTCGACAGCCTCGAAGTGAATCAAAGACTATTGTGATTCAACAACCCACGGATCAAGACGCTTTAACTGTTGAAACTAATCATAATTGTTCGAATTTCCAGTGGTTCTTCCTTGGAGAGCAACAGTATTCAAAAGATATTTATCAAAACAATAAATATAATGAGATTTCATCCAGCGACCAACTTTTGTACAGCAGAATCAACCTATAAATGATGAATCGACTTTACGATCTACTACTAGGAGTACTAATACTGATAATAGTCTTGGTAATATAGGTATCACAAATTACTGTGAAAATTCAAATGCCTCAAATCATATTTCCAAACTGCGTACAACATGGACCTTAGATAATCCCCTTCTTCCATCTCCTACCTCCGAGTGTTGAATTCTCTGAATATGTGCAGAGTACCTCCTGATGTAACGAACCTTGTATCTACTAACTTTCAGCATCATTTTCTTGCAAAGTATTTTTGCTATTAACTTGACTTCTTGTTAACTTCATAGTTTTTTTGGTTTCCCCTGCCATTTTTAGTTGACGTAAAATGATACCGGTCAGTCTATAGTATTGAATATACCAATTTGCTTAAAGAAGAAGGAATTTGTTAAATTACAATCTACATAATACTTTATGTATATACATATCTGTGAGATATGAAATCCAGTTGCTACCTGCACGAAATTCCTTAATATTTTAAGAAGGTAATCAGAATAATCTAAGAGTAAGGAATACTAGTTGTTTATGAAACTTTTAGTCTAACGTGGACTAACAGTTCCTGTGTTGACTCATATAAATATACCGGTATACCTGTAGTGTACTTCGAGTGTGTATACTTATGCTTATCGCTCCATATAAATGAATTTATATGGTGGTAAGTAGTTGAATAAACACAGTGCTAGAAAATTTGTTTTCAACATTTTTCCATCTTTCATTGAGTGTTATAGAGGATATATTTAGTGTCCTGGTGAAGTGATAAAGATTTCATTCCGAAGAACGCTATTCGTTTGTTTTCCCACTAAGATGAGAAGTGACCACTGAATTTGATTGTGACCATCACCCTGGGATCGGATTCGCTAGCTCGGTAGTCTGATTTGAGGTTTTTACTGTTTGGAACTCTGACTATTGACTAGATCTATTCTGACTACGTGAGGATATGATGGGATCGTAATGTATCTGAAAAGGGTCTTCACAGATTAGGGAAAGTAAGTGAATACGCACGCCTTCGAGATAATCGATAGGAGCTAGAGCTGCACAGTACTAGTAGGAGGGATTTCTTCTTTAGTAGCACTAGTACTTTCCTAGTTTGTAACCGTCTCCGAGTATCCTATCTTAACCTTGTTGATTGTGGAAAAATTGGACAGTATATTCAAAAATTTATCAATTCATCCTAACTTCCTACGATTTACCTGATGAAGTTCTTCTTGTAGGTAATATCCTATGCTGAAATCATTATTCATGAACGTTTTTGTGTCAGCACCTGGAAATACTTATTCAAAATATAAGTTGTTTTACTTTATATAAAAGGGGAACGGGTATTTCTGAAGATAAATTCATTGAAGTGGCAGATAAGGGAAAAGTACTATACCTTACAATATGGTACCCATTTGCAAACAGGTTACTGTTCTGCATATCTTCTTCCCTTTTATAACTCTATCCAATATTGTTCATTCTTCCAACTAGGATTCTCACTAGTAGGTCCTTATCATTTTTAATTTCTTTGAAGTTGAGGTTGTTTCGGACCTGAAACGATGCAAATAGCAGAACCTAACGGTTTGCCACCCATTTTTAAGAATAAAGATAGGAAATTACTGAGTAGAAAGACGAAGGTAGTGTATGCGAATCAGAGGTATTCCCGTCAGGCTACCCTGCTTAATTGATCAGTTCAGTCTACAAGAAAAGAGAGGTGCCTTCTTGTGACAACCGCTGGAGAGTCCGTTTGACTAATATTGTGTCCAAGACCACTGGGTCCTTAGTAGTTCGACGCCTAACTGGGGTTCGAGAACAACAGACTCAAGAGAACCGAGCAGGTTTCAGACCTGGATGAGGGCGTATTGACCAGATTTTCACCCTTCGACAGGTTCTGGGACACAGGCATATTCACCGACGGCCGACACGCCGTATTTATTGACCCTAAAGGTGGTATTCGACTATGAGGTGTTGTGACAGTGTCTGACTGAGAGAGGAGTACCAAACAAGTACACGGCGCCAATCAAACCTCTGTGCTCGAACTTACGCATTCGTGAGAGGGCTTATGCTGAGTTGTCACCTAAATTATTGACAACTAGTGTCTAGCAAGAATGTCCACTGTCACCGTTCCGATTTAACTTCGTCCTAGACGTACTAATGAACATAACCTTAGGTACGTATGACTTCACAGAGACTGATCTACTCCTTGGAGATTGTCTGGTTGACTTAAAGAGTCCAAACGATGTTGTCCTACTATGCAGAGCCACTGACAAAATGCAGGGCGTTCTGAACGCGTTGAGCAGAAATCTTAGTACATTTGGCATGCGTTACCCACGCGTCAAATGTAAGATGATGTTTCACGACCGGCGTGCAACTACTCACAGTTTGATGATAGCGAGTGAAATGGTTGGATATATCAACCACTTCCCTTACTCGAGGAGTTGCATCAGCCCGAATGGGGTGGTTTCTGATGAAATCTCTGCTGGGAAATGGAAGTTTTGTTTGGCATTTGCGTCTTCTTTAGTGGGGCAATTCTGTTCTTCATATTTTCTCATCTGGTCATATCCACCGATTCCACGTACCCTATGCAACAAGGTATATCGGTGATAGTTGGAGATTACGTTTCAACACGTATACGAAAACGGCAGCACCTTATAAAACAGCTTACAAAAGGGAGAGCATGAGAGTTAAAGAGCGTATCCATGCGGATTTTACCCATTTATTTTATGTATTCCATCAAAATTATGTTGCCACAAGTTTTGACAATGAAAAAGATATTAACGGTTGCCTTTCGATGGACTCTAACTTTTGTGATCGTTGTAATCATCCTTCTTGTGATTTTTATTAGGTTTCTAGTTAATTTCTACAACATGTGGATTATTGCGTACTAATTTAAATTCTAACGTTAAATACTCGACATTCTTTCTGCAGAAAATAATTTGACAGAGGAAATCAACAGCGCATACTTCTTAAACGATAAAATTCAGAGGAAACAATTGTCCGGTACCCTCTATGGACTCGAAAAACTGAATATGTACTACTGATTTTAGTGTAGAATGGTCTTTCATCTGATTTTGTGTCTCGGTTGATTTACTTCAGATAGCCAAACAGCCAACTTTAACTATCCTAAAACACAAGCAGCAACTTGATATAAATATCTATAATTAGAGTAAGCGTTTGTTAGACAGTCTACACTGAGAATTAGGAAACTAGATGCTAACTAATTGCCAAATCTAACCACAGCCTATTGCAAAGTATGTTCCATTATAGGACTGTCAATCACGTTGTATCCAGCTTTCATTCCCTCATCAAACCGCGGCTTTTAGTAGAGCTCATTATCCTCGACAGTACGCCTTCAACGATTTATTCAGAGGTTGGAATCAGGCACTAGTCACTATGGTTTAGGCAACCAAGTTGTATCATATACCCTCACATAATAGGTTCAGCGTGTTGCCTAGTGCACGTGGTTATTTTGCATAGTGGACATACTCACCTGGTGTTACTTTGACTCGCACTGATGATTTACTGAAATTCATTTATCTTTAGTTATTCATGTTTATTCTAGTAAAGTGAAGAGAGGAGTATATTTTGCAGCTTTTTGATAAGGAAAAATAGAAATAATAATCAACCACAGAATGATTAAAATAATTAACTTTGTATACATAGTCAAAAAATATTTGGCAGCAAATATCAGATTAGAAGAATAGGAATAAAGCTGAGAAAAACAGAAGAGAAAGACTAATTCCGCACACATTCTCTTGGTTGTTTTTTTTTCACATCCCAATGAAAAGAGAGACAGATGAAATCAAAAACAGACAGTTCATTATTTTGGCCGAATTCCTAACAATTTATTCATTTGACGATTTTGGTTAGACATAGTATCTGTTACTCGATGAATTTTAGGCGCCATACGATCGAGCTGATCATTTTGAGTTTTCAACTCATCATTCATGCCTTGAGCCAAACTCTTCAGTCGAGACACACCATCACCCATTAGAGATAAATTATTTTCAAATTCAATATCTGGAGATTTAGGGGTGTCATTTGGCTCCTATTAAAAAGAAGCAAAGCAAAAGAGATTAAACTGTTAATTGGAATCATTCGGAACGAATAACCTCAAGTTCAAATATTTAACTTCAAATCGAACTGAGTGTATGTGCTAGGTAGTACTTGCCAAACTAAGATGGAACATCTGTTCCAACCACTTTGGCTTACGATGAAACTAATCAAATACCGGAAATAACTAAATTCATTTGTAGCACTGGTTTGGAATAGAAGCAGTCATTTAACTGCATAGCATTCTAAACATTTAGCAAGCGGTCTTATAAACACACACAAGCAGTTAGTACCATAGTCTTTACGTGATGCAAACGGTTATATATATATATATATATATATATATATATATATATATATATATATATATATATTATATATATATATATATATATATATATATATATATATATATATATATATATATATATATATATAACTCCAGAAAAACGTTATGACCGCTTGGACACATAATTAGATGCAAACAGTTCCTTAAAATGGCCCTATGCGTAACCTGCACAATCGATAGCACAGAGATGCTATCTTTAAATATCAGTAAGAAATTACTTGAGCCTTAAGCTTACGCGGAGAGTCCTTACATTTCAAGAAAACTCAGATTACTGTGAACATTGTAAATCCAGGTGTTCAAAGGTAAGTACATTTTATTCTACCTTTTGATATGCTACAATATATCTGCACACAATAACCTATTCTAATGGGGTTGTACTAATATGATGGTTTTTGTGCTCCTCACAAGATTGGGACGGGTAGCTATCGGTAAAATCTTCACTAAGCATATGGATACAATCAATATTCACTAACAGATTCTATCCGCATAGCCACTTGCCATACTAGATCCTGTGACGCAAATAATGACAAGGAATATTGCCCCACAAATAACCAAAAACATTTCATACCTTACATTTTAGGTAAATTTATAGGGACACTATAAATTAGAATCAAATAAACCAGCTACTTACGATCATGTTCTTTTGGAGTGTACTTGTATACTGATTACCCCATGAACTGCCACACTGAAGAGACTGTCTTAGAGTACTTTGATTCCTGTTATCTACTATCTTGTCCACTGCAGATGGTCCTTGAGGAAAAGGTTGTGATTGTCTGATAAAAATGAGCAATCACAGAAATCAAAATGAATCGGTACTAATTCACAATAAACTAATTACAAAATTAAAGTGACTACAGTAACAATGTATTTTTCACAATTTATGAATATTTTTACAGTATGTGCGAATTAATCAAGACCAGTGTTACTGAAGCTGAATTGTACGCAGGTGATGGCCCTTATTCTCTAATGAACACAAAGTTTATATATTCAGAATACGTTCAAAATAATTAGTAAACAGATAACTTCGAATTTCTTGCGTTTCTCTGAAGCTTTAGCCAATAAACGATTAAAACCAAAATTATATGTCCAGAAAGAAAAAGTTATCAGCCTGTACCTATCATGGTAAAGACTTTGTTTTGTTGACAGTCAGCTTTTTGACATATCCTCGTTGGTTTTTTTGTTATTTTTCATTCCATACTTTTGACCTAATTATCTGAATTCTGCTCACATTAATTCTTAGCTTCTATGAATCTTATGACCTTTTCAAACATATTTTATGTAGCCTTTCTCAATACATTCGTCTCCCCCACTCATCTAACTTTCCTGCTCTAAAATACTATTCTATTCCTTTTATATGTTGGCAAAATTACTATTAGTTCTGCATATTTATTCACTCGTTTCGAGTATCTTCACTTGCGTCATATCGACGTTATCTTTCCTGCAAGCCGATAATTCTCTATCAAAGTGATTCAGGTATCCTAAAATTTGGAAAAATTGATGTCTAAATTGTTTTGATGAGAAACCGCGAAAAAACATGGATCCATGCTGTTTTGCTAAAGTTGTTGTTCTCACTCTACTTAAATGTGTCAAAGAACTGTATTAAATATTTACTACGTTATTGTTTATTATTATTATCTATTACATTCGAGTCAATGCCGTAACACATGGAGTAAACAATGAAGCGATATGAAAAGATGACATAACTTATATTCATAACATTCATGCAGTCAACAACACTTCATGCAGAAAGCACCAAAAGACGTAATTTCATTTAGGTTCTGATTGTGCATCGAACTTTCTATAATTCGGTCGTTCCCTCAAATTTTGTCACATCTACGAAAATTTGAGTGTCTAAACCATTACAGTACTCATACAACAAAGGGTGACTAATCGCCTAATACATCAACGAGTAAATGTTGCCGAATTGCATTATTTGCATATGTTCTTGAAGGTATTATAGTTGGAGTGGGATTCGAATTCGTAACTCAGTCATTGAGTTAGTGCATTTAGGCTAACAGACCATGGCTTCACTTAGCAAAACTCATCCGTAAACTCTCATCAAACCGGACTGGCTGACTTGCCAATATGCTTAGTGTCAACCTGAGAGAAATGCAAACAAAGCAAATGACCGTTCAGTACATTACTGTTTGGTGCTTCAAACTGACCTTCTCATCCCTAGTCTTAACCTATACACACGAAAGGGTTTAATTCATAGTTGGCCTTCTCTCTTTCGATCTGATCAGAATAATACGGCAATAGGTTAAGTTCTTTAGACTGGTTAAGTGTAGATTTCTAAACACCTCTATTTCATGCTTCACAAATAACAACTCTCCATTCAATCAGAAAACTCTATTAACTTAGGAGATGAGATCTCCACGTATCTAATTAGAAATGCAGGACACCAATCAAGTAACAATCGCAATTGTTTGAATCCTTTCACTTTCCAGAATTCCGGTGATCTGTTGAAATAATATCCTAGCATTACGGACTACTTTTTAATTTTTTTTCCCCAAAAAGAGATCGGAAAAGACTGACACCGCTCACTTGAACCAGTCTTCAATGTTTGTTATAGGCAATTAATCAGTTTGAAGTAAATTTTAATCGTGTATGTCTCTTAAAAATTAGAGGTCTATTCTTCTATAACATGGTTTTTAGTTTTATACAACCAAACAGCAATCATACTGAGCTAATGCTGTATTCTGGTTCGATTGTGTTTCGAGTTTTATGATACGCGGCAGAAAAAAAGAAAGATTACAAGTCAACTGTATTAAAATGCCTCTTTCAACAGTGGAGTCTTGTTACTGTCGGACACAACAAGAACAAGTGTAGCAGAATAATATGAGCTCATTATTATAACTGCAAGGATTCTTCTCAATTGTTTACAACCTAAATGATATCAAAATGTATGTATTATGAGAATTGTACCTACTTTTATCAAGTTGACAAAGGTTCTCGATAGGATCAACCGGTAAAATAAATAATGAATAGTGTAAACAGTTGAGATCGCCGGGAATGTGACCCCACAGCTACCTTCCAATCGGACACCATTTTATTGTGGCGATAATGGACAAAGACAACTGTGTACACAAATTTAAATAGAGGGAGAACAGTTTTAGCAGAATAGCATGGATCCATTTCATTTCGAGCTTTCGCATTAGCTACTTACAATCCGAAACAATTTTAATATTAAATTATGCAAAACGTTTGCGAACTTGAATCAATTTGCTAGAAAATTACCAGCTTGAAGTAAAGATAACATTGATATAATATAACTGAAGAAACATGAATTGAGTCAATAAATATACAAGGATTAACGGCAAATTTGTCAATATATGGAAAGATTCAACGAATATTTTGGAGAAGTTGGACCAATTGTGATAGTTAAAGCCAATGAATGATCAGAAACAAAGTTGGTTTCATTTCAAACTAGTTGATATTACCAACCAATACCAGTTTCACAATTCACAAGTTCTGTCTGTTTATAAAACAGCATTGAGAAAATATTTCAACCGGACAAGGGCTCTAGTATGGTCATTATGGACAAACACATGGACATAAAGCCAGACCAATTGTCGATGATTCACTAGGATCTATAATTGACAGTTCTAACTGAGGCTACAGAAAAGCTAATTGAAAGGAATTAGCATGATTTTTTGAAGAAGAATTTTATTGATAACTTGATTCATAATGACCACAATCCGTATTTATATGACCTATAAAAGGCACATAAACTTAATGTCCCGATGAGACCCATATTGTCTATGGTAACTTTGCTCGTCGGTTTGCAGAGTACGTGAAACTAATTAGTGAAAGTTGGCAATTCATGGCTTGGAAGATTATTATTATTTATTCCTTGGGTTTCAGTAGCACGTCACCATTTCACTCTGTTCTCTGCAGTCTTTTGAACCTGACTCAACAACTGCCCAGAAGCTTTCATTTCTTCTTCACACGATCTCCTCCACGTCACCCTCAGACGCTCAACTCGTCGTTTTCCATTTCGGTCCCACTCGAAGGTCTTGCATGTAATGTCCCCAGATGGTCTTCTCAGTGTATGTCCAGTCCAATCCATCTCCACTTTCTTCTGCTTATATGTTGGGCGATAGGTTCTTGCTTCGTTGGTTCGTTGCCAGACCAGAGTTCCTTGTTGCTTATTCTTTCTGGCCATCTGATTTTCACTATCGAGCGGCAGCTGTTGATGTATGTCTGCAGTTTGCTGGAAAGACTTGGAAAATAGCTTTGAATTTGTTCAAAGACTGGAAGTTTTACACAATCCTGATAAATCCATGGTGTCTTTAGATATATCTTTAGTATTTAAGAGGATATCTTTGAAAGAAACTCCAGAGGCTGTGTCAGCATTCCGATCTTCTACCTTCACCCAAAGAAGAATTCAAACACCTTTCCTCATGTGGATCGTCAAACTGATGGAGTTGCGATGAGTAGTCTCTTAGATTCCATACTAGCTAGTATCTTTATAATACAGTTAACGTACGAGTATGAAGTATGCAATCGATAAGACAACATTCAACAGTATGTATGCTGATGATATATTCATTGTTTGCAGTAACCTGGCAAATGTCTCTTATTTACTTAGTCTACTCAACTAAGCACATTAAAACATAGAAGTTACAATAGAGTATGAACAGAGTGAGAAGTTTCTTTGATCGATCCTGCAATCTAACATCCTGTAAATGGTAATATACAAATGTCTATCTATCGTAAGGATTTATGGAGTGGACTGTATGTCAATTTTAAGTTTTTGTGCGACAGATTATAAGACAGGAGTAGTGAAAACACTTCTAAGTCGCATAAGATATCTTTCTTCGAAAGAGATGCCGGAAGACAAAATGACTTGTTGAAAATTACATCCGTGATTAATGGATATCCACAAAAACTCATTGATAAATGCAAGAAAATATCAAGTAAAAATGGAAAGTGTGTTGTATAAGGGGAAGAAACTTCTTTCCCTACATCTTAGCTTCAAAGGTGACATTGCTTCCAGAATAAATACTGCCTCATGAACGAACCTAATCAGATACCAGGTTAAACGTACCTTACCAGATGAATTGTTTACTGAGACAGTTTAAGTTTGACAAGTCCCGCTTTCACGTTACCTTCAGTTGTATGAACGAATTCAGATGTACATGCAAAGGCATATAAATTAGAGGACAGAAAGAAGGGTTTGTGACTGCATATCTTAGTATATTCCAAAGAATTTGCCACTGAGGTGGAGAAATCTTCGACAGCGCTATCGCTCGTCTCCTTATTGATAGTGGACAGGAAGTTGATACTCAGAAATCGACTGAAATAATTAAGAAACAGATGGGTTTGGATTTGGTGCCTCTCTGAAGTGGTAGCCATTAAACGAATAAAACCAAACTTATGTATTCAGAAAGAAACAGTCATCAGTTTGTGTCTACCATAGTAAAACTCTAGTGTTGCTGATAATCATCATGTAACGTTATCGATCTCACACGTTTATTGTAATTCCATTTCTCATCCTTGACTCTACTCTCCGAACTAGTAGTTAACTTAAATCAGGTATTTTTCATACATATATTATATAACCTTTCTAAATATGCAGAAAATATTTTTCGCTCTCTTTTTATTGTACAACTTCCGCTCTCACAGTAAATGTTACCTGAAGGTCCTGAGTTCGATCCCTGGTCAGGTCGTGGGTGCTGAAGAGTACCACACTACGGAAGAAACAACTGTCCAGCGCTCCCAAGTTTCCGATGTAATCCCAACTATTTTCAGTCCACGGCAAATACTACCTCGATATATATCAGTTCCTGTATATTTATTTACTCAATTCGTGTATCTTCAATTACATTATATCAATGTAATCTTTCCAGTAATCTGCTAAATATAATGACATTTCAGACTAAATTGTTGCCTTGATTCAATAGTACGCAAATCATCACGAACTCTCCTGAATAAGACCAAACACAAAGACAATGAAAAATAGGGGTGGAAAGTCAACATCCTTTTTGTGAGTTTACCAGCTTTTTATTAACTGTTGGCTTACCTACGGGAAAAAATATTCTTAAAACCACCGAAGACGCTGGATAAGGTATTGATTTTCTTCTGACTATCTTTTTGTAACTCGCTAATCTCTTCAAGTTTCCGTTCGGCATGACTTAACTTCTCTCCCTGTTCAACGAGCTCTTGAGCTGCAGCAACACCAATTTGCTCTGAATTATAAATACTTGCCAATGCCCGCTGTTGACTAGCTTTTGTTCTCGACTGACTGTCTAATATTTGACACTATGCAAGTAAAAAGTAAAACAATTCCACAATTGGAACAAATTTTATGATAATATCGAACTCAATAACACTAATTCAATCCACTGGAATTACAGGCTTACAATATCAAAATGCCGCCAAATTACAGGAAAACGTGATATTATCGGAATCGGACTCGCTGCAATAGGAGAGACGTGACTTCGTTTACTCGTCAGTGCTTTAGATTCCTACCAAATATATGAAACCACGTTTTTTGAAAGTGTCAAATGCATAACTGTTGGATGAAGTAGACTGGAGAAAGGTTCGAAGTACCAAGTTGATGAATTAGTAAAAATGAATCTTTGTTATAGAACTTAAAAATCTCATTGCTTTATATTAAGTTTTAGTAAACTTACTATAGTCCATCAACTCAAGCACTTAATATCGTGGACTTAAAACTGTTGGAGAAACATTGGAAACCCGATGGCACCGCACAGTTGTTTCGTCCTAGTATGGGACTTCTCAGCAGAGCGCATCAATGACCTCGCCGGGGATCGAACCGGGAACCTTCGGGTTCCGTGACCAGTACGTCATCACTGAGCTCCTGGGTCGGAATCCAATGGTCCATGCTTCCTACTTCTATCAGTTCACGACATAGCGTGACCTCCATCCAAAGCCATCGTTGCATAACTGCCCTTATGTCCGACTTGGTTGGCCCCACTAGTCACGAATTTTCACTAGAGATTCAGGAATCACTTGTCGAGGCTAGATTAATTCAATTTAGAGGTTCGCAGAGGAGTCCCATACTAGGACGAAACAGCTGTCCAGTGCTTCTAGGCTCTGTGTTTTTCCAACTGACGTCAATCCATGATGAATACCAACATGAAAGAAGTCGATAAATAAATCCCCACAAACCTCCAAATTGACTTAATATATCAAACTAGTCAACTTAAAATCGTGCTCCACGTACCAGAGTGAATGATCTGGTTGTATCACCACTCTTCGCATATATAATATGGTTCATAGATTTTTATACACGAACCTGTAAATCCTTTCTTATTTATTTGAATTTTTCTGCATTCAGTCATATCACCTAGTTAATTTGATTATTTATTTCTTCATTTTGTTTATTTTCATTTCTAGTGCTATTGATGAAGTTCAACAAGTTACACCAGTATACATACTTTTGTGCAAAATTGTACTGTTTTCCAAATGTAAACTTTCGCAACCGAAAAGCCAATAAAGAACAGACAAACAAACGTAGCACCCTACACAGAGATGAATCCGTACCAGTCGCAACACTTAACAACAGCAAATAAAGAGAATGTGGATAGAGATATAATGACTGTAAAATGCATAAAACTGCATGAGTGCAGAGGAAACAAACGCATGAAGCTTAGTTAAAATGTCAAGAATTTTCACGATCGTAAAAAGTAAATACATCTGACTGTGATCGGTTTTAAATCATGTCGCCAAAAGTCTCCAACCATTACAAACAACTCGAAGATTTCAAAAAAAGTCTACACATCACAAAGGAGGAAAAAAGAGAATCGGAACTGTCCTAAAGTTGTGGAGTGACCTATATAAAAATATGGACAATAAACTGTCGTCAAAACATCAATCAGTAACTCATAGTGTTAAGTCGAATAAACAAACTCAAATGGAGACAGTTATATACTTCATGGACTGACCATATATAGTGATTTTGTCATTTCCCAGCTCCCTTTTAACCTACTCCCACTTCAGTTAGCAGAAAAACTTGAGATGGCTAATGACTTGGTAGGTTCAACACATGTTCAAAACCCTATTGACTACGCCGCCTTCTTTCCTTCTATGTTGGTGTTGCCCAACTTTTACTTTTACTAATAATCTTGGGTAGCTGGGTCATCGAACAACTTGGTACTAACAGACGATCATATCACAACAGTATAGTTTAAGTAAGTAACGTCTACACCATAGGTGTCGCTTATCTAATGCTTGAACCTTGGAATGGTTGATGGGCTACTTTACTCAACGGTCATACCTAACAGGTGACACAATAGGACGAACCAGACTTCTCAATACACACATCCTCTGATGTCCAGTTGGATATTTTACCGATGCTAGGGATGTTAACCAAACAACTTGCATTTCGTATTCAAGCTGAGATTTCATCAGTCTTACTATTCTTATTATATTATTATTAGAACACAAACATGGTACAGCAAGGGCATCAAGAAATGCACCACATAAAACAATGTAACAACATCATGAACACAGAAATTGAAGGAAAGTGGATATCTATCATTGTTATTACAACACAAACATGGTAGTATAATAACAATATAAAGACATAAATGATGGGAAGTAGATAAGTAAAAAAGAAAAACAATAAGAAGAATAGCATGATTAGAAGGGCATTTCAAACATTACTTTTCAGCAGCATAGGATAGAAGAAAGCTACAACATGACCACCATTTTCAATTCTGAGTCATATCTGATAACGCCTCAAGCCACTGAGTTGCCTGATCTCTCGGACCCCATCCAGACAGTCTTGATGCACCAACACATGCTAACCCGATACGACTATCCTTCATACCACCACGCCACTTCATACACTGACCACCCACCCATCCACCCAGCCGCTTCTTCTATACAGTCTCAGGGCTACTAAACAATGAAGGGTATACAAGCCGTTGGAATGACATGCATAACACATGTCCAAGTTGGTGTTTCCAGATGACTCCACTTATTGAATGACGATCTCCATCATGCTCAAACATACTCTGTCATAACCTCAGAAGTACTTACAAGGTCTTGCCACCGGATACGAGCAATCTTACGGAGACAACGACGATCGAACACACAAAGTCGTCCCACATCCTCAGCTCACGGAGGCCAGCTTTCACAGGAGTACAGAAGAACTCACACCAAAGCGTTGTAAACCCAAACGTCTACGTCACTTGGTGACACGTGAGTAATGCAGAAGTCAGGTGTAGAGTTTTAGGGAGAAGAGGTAAGTCTGTTGACGAGGTTGTGAACCTTCATCGACTGAAATGGTTGGGACACGTACTACGTATGCCTAGTCACCGATTGCCTCGTCACACAATGTTGGCTGAGGTGGGTCCAGGCTGAAAAAAGGCTCGAGGTGGCCAGACTAAAACATGGCATTAATGTATGAAGTCTCTGACTGTTGGTTTAAGCCATGTAGGACAATGCAGACTAGGCGGTTGGGGGGCTCGGGACAAGAGGAACCAGTGGTTGGAGACTCCAAGTAATATGGCTCAGAACCAATGTCAGTGGCGCAGATGTATACACACATTATCCTCATCTTAACTACGCTATACTGAATCTCACCATTTTGTCATTCTTCTTTTCTTTCTTCTCGTACTTTATATTTCTTTTGACTGCATTCACTTATCTTCATCCTTCACCTCACTGCCTTTCTACTTGATGAACTGACGTGAGGTGTAGCAACTCGGACCGTTACGCAGTAATGCCTAGTCCTACATTGATAACGACTAATTGATTGATTGCAGGATGAAGATAAGAAAATTCAGTCAAAAGAAATACAAAATACGAAAAAATAGAAAGGAAGAATGAGAAAATGGTGAGATTTGGTATAGAGCCGTTAAGATGAGGATAATGCATGTATACATTTGCGCCACTGACATCAATTCTGAGTCATATCGCCTAGAGTCTCCAACCACTGGTTCCTCTTGTCTCACGGACCCCAACCACCTAGTCTGCATCGCCCCACATAGCTCAATCCAACAGTCAAAGACTTCATACATTGGTGCCATGTTTTAGTCTGGCCACCTCAGGCCTTTTTCCAGCCTGGACCTACTTCGGTCAACATTATGTGACGGGGCGATTGGTGACTAGGCATACGTAAAATGTGTCCCAATCATCTCAATTGATGAAGGTTCATAACCTCGTCAACAGACTTACCTATACTCCCTAAAACTCTACTCCTAACTTGTGCATTAATCATGTGGTGACACTACGGAATACGGCCTATACTACGAAGGCAACGGTGGTCAAACACCTCAAGCCATCCTTCTCATATCTTCTACCTTCAATGGCCATGTTTCACAGCCATATAGTAGAACAGACCGGACTGCTGTGCAGTACACGCAACCTTTAACAGACAAACGGACATCACGGAGGCGCCATGCCATAGGTGGCGTAAGTTGGCAAAAGCCAGTCGAGCCTTTTGTATCCGTGCAGAGATTTCATCGGCCACTGACCCAGCCATTAGGGCTGATCCTACTTCCCAGGTAAGTGAAGTGATCGACATGCCCAGTCACTACACTCTGCATTGTTAGCCGCGGTGGGGCACCGTTGAAGACCAATCCTGGGGCGACAATTTACATTTGGGTGGTGAAAAACGCATCCCAAACATTCTCAAAGTGTTCAGAAGACTCTGCATCTTATCAGCGTCTTCACCTAACACGACTATGTCATCTGCATATTCTAGGTCTAAGGGAAATTCGCCTGCGATTAGGTCAACATCTGTATAATCAGGTGATGAGATGGAGACCTCCATGAGAATATCTATGATAAAATTGAATAAGAATGGAGACAGTAAACACCCTTGACAGACACCACCAGATGAGCATAGCTCCCTGGACATCTCACCATAGGCTCTAACACGCCAACAAGTGTTCGAGTAGAGAGCCTTCAATAAGGTGATGTACTTACTCGGCACGCCTTTCAGTGAGAGACATTGCCATAAGACTTCTCGAATGTCGCCTTCAGGTCGAAAAATACAGCTAGTGTTGGGCGTCGGTAAGCGTGCCTATGTTCCAGAACCTGGCGCAGTATGAATATCTGGTCAGTACACCCGCGGATGGGTCTAAAGCCTACCTGGTTTTCTCGGACTTGCTGTTCCCAAGCTCCACTCAGACGTCGAAGAATTATAGAACCTAGGATCTTGGACACCATGTTCGTCAAGCTGATTCCTCTGTGGTTATCACAAGAGGACTTCTCGCCTTTCTTGAAGACTGGAATAATCAGTGGTTCAGACCAGTCAGAGGGGATCGTATTTGATTCCCATATAC